TACCTTACAGGCATTGAGATGTTTCCTTTTTATTCTGTTTTCAAAACTCTACTTGAGCTTTCATATATTCATGGTTCATCTGTTACATTTCATAATGAATCATTAGAAATGTGCTACATGTTAACATTCAACACTCATTTAGCTGAAAGCATATCTGGTTTCTTTTTCTGTTTCTGTCTCTATCAGACCAGAAGATTGTCAGCTGTCATTTCTACCTGCAAAAAGCTCAAACAGCAGTTTTTCTGCACACCGGTGAGAAACATATTAAGTCTGTATTGTGCTGTAGAAGTAGTGACGTTTCCTGGGAGTTAACACAGGCAATTATAGGGGAATTAAGCTGATTTCAGAGAAACGTACCATAACCCTGACTGCTGATCATAATATTACTGGATTTAATCATTTTAGTGTTTAAAAAAATGCTAACTTAAATTAATTGCTTCAATTGGTAAAGAGAAATTGAATCAAGTTGAGCCAACTTTATTTATTAAGTTTTTATTTCACATCTTTCTTTTTTTTAGAATATGACCATCTGTATAAAATACATAAACTGTGCATCTTCTTCAAAGCAGGAACATATGAAGTGAGATTAATATTTTAAAGACGCTATTATAAAGCATTTCATTATTATTTATTTTCTGCAGTAGTATTTACACTCTATCTACACTCATACTTTTCAAAGGTAAAATGAAACTGTCAACACTGGGTGGCGCTGTTTACAACGAGGATATGATGCAATTTCCCAACTTTACTGCTTATCCCTAATCACTGGTCAAACTGACTTAATTTGACCAATCATTTTTAAAAACACTTTACTAGTATCCAGAAAAATGGTAAACTCTGTTGATAGATGTTAAAGTGATGTAAAATGATTAAATTTGGGGTAAAGAGTGATCATAAAAAAAAATAAAAAGTGGTTTTATTGGGTTTCTCTTAACTGTTTTTCCTTCTCACAGAGACCAGGGCAAAGATCCAACAAAGAAGCCAGACTCAGGTTAGTGCAGCACTTGTTTTTTTTTTTTTGCAAGGGTAAATGTGAACTGAAAACCAGAGCTGGTTTAATGTGCTATGACGTTTAACAAGGCCATCTTTAATTTGGCGTGATGTGCTTGGTCTATATAGAGATGGAGGAGTCTTGGATAACCAATCAGGGGTTGTACCTAAGCATCAGCATCATGTCTATCCCCTGCCTGAGTCCACATGCACCTCAGGGATTGGCGCCAAACACCAGGTACACCACAACTACTCTAAGACAACCTCAGGATGTTTCTGCTTCTGATGGCTCTCTTTTAAGTTCCTGTGTTTGTTACAGTTTAGACAACGGCAGCGCCTCACTGATTGCAGTAGGTAATGCTTCCAGGTCAGAGTTCATCAAGCACCTCAAGAGGTACAGCAGCTCTAGCGGACAGGTGAGGTAGCATCAACTATCCACAACACACTCCAAGAATTTCATCCTTAGGATCTATGTATGGCCATATTAAGTACTTTAGGCTTTCAACATCTAATGAAAATCAATACCCTTTCCAAATCAATAATTCCTTCTCTGCTGAATCTGATTTATTCTCAGAATCATTAAACTTGTGTAACAATATTTTCAGGGTTTGTTAAAAAACGAAGATGGTTTCTATCACATTTAATGACATACTAACTTCATTGCAATTAGGAAAAAGCATAGATACGATCCATTTTATTTTATCTCTAGAATATAAAAAAAGGATCCTTAAATGTCTCAGGAATTACATTAAAACAATCTTACTTGATCCCATGTTAGTGTGCAGATGCTTTGTCTGCATCGATAAAGATCTAACTCTCTTTTCTGAAGTGGCTCAAACATCCTACTTTAAGGTTAATGGTGCTTTTAAATATAATTACATTTATAGACTGTGACACTGAAAAAATAGAAATCTAAATAAATCATTTTTTCTTAAAATAAGTGTGTTTTGTCTTAAATTGAGGAGGTAAGTGAGGCACTGCCAATTGGAAAATAACTGCATTGTCTTATTTCCAGTATATATTATCTGATTATTTTATATTAAAAGTAAAAATATTCATTGGATTGGCAAATCATCTTATTTGCCTAGTTAAATTAAGGGTGTATGCAATTAAGTTAAGAAATATTAACTTATTTTTAGATTGTTTTTGCAGAATAGAAAACTAAAATGTGATATAATGGCAGTTAAAGTCTGCAGAAAAAAAATAAATCCTAATTTCATATTTAAAGTCCAACATTTGAAATTTAGTCCAGAGGTTTTGATTTTATTTTGAAGTCTAATGATGAAAAAGTGCGCTATTCAAACCAGTATTATAAAACTAAACAGGATCCAGTCAGGAGCCAACCTTTTATCAGTCAGTGACCACATCTTAAAGCTCAACCTTTTGCTCTGGAAAAACAACACAGTTACATGCAGATTAGCCTGATTTAGCCTGGCTTGAGAGACTCAATGTTAACCCACTTTCTAAATATACTGACCCTGTGCCACCGGCCAGCAAATTAAAAAGCACGCTAAACTGAGTGACCTACATTTTGTTAGCCTTCATGCAAAGAGTAAACACATCAGCTTCAAATATACAGGAGGAACGTCTGACACATGAATGTGAGGATTTTCAAACCAGATTGTGTTACACTGTGTTTTCATCCTTGAACGGGACTTTCTCGGTAAACAGGTTTCCTCAAATGTTTTCCATACTTGGACAGCAGAAACAATTAAAGAAAAATACTAAGCATCTTTTAATCAGTAAAATGGATCCCACGCATTATTCTATTCTGTTCTCATAAACTCTAGACAAAGGCACAATAAACCTAAAATCAAAGATTTAAATACTTATGAAATCATGTAAACTTTAAAATATACATCACATAGAAAGATGTTAGAGTATATCAACACATATAGGCCACGTTCTAAAAAGTGTTTAGTGTCATGCTTTCAATTTAAGATAATTTTATAAGATATTGCAAAAGAATGGAAATAGTGACAAACTTCAACTATTATATCAGAGAAAAAATGTGTCATAGTCTACATATTTTAGGGTTTAAATGTGCTTAATTAGAGTTTCCATTGAATTTAGGGGGGGAAACAAAGGTTTTTGACCAGGATTTTGTTATAAACTGTTATAACGCTTCATCACAGGATCTTTTTTTATTGTTTTAAATCAGATTTACACACAGATGGAGACTCATTGCTAGTCTCTGCTGCCCCCTGTTGGCACATCAGGTCAAGAAACAGATGATAAGTAAATAGGAAGGAATTCAATCACCTCAGCTCAAAAACAAGCTGCTTAAGGGTTTACCAAACTCCTCAGTCTTCCTCAGCTTAGCTCTGACACACTTACAAACACAGCAACCTTCTGACTGTCTGTCTGCAGTTCAGCTTCCCTTTTGTGGAGACACACTCAGTGTCAGAGGTGAAGATTCGGCCCCGCTCACTGATTGGCTGGTCTGAGGAGGATAGTGAGGAAGAGGGAGACTCCAAAACTACACCCATCATCCAGTCAGAGCGAGCCGCTTTCCCTTGGAACATTGATGGAGAGCTGGTGGAGATCGCTAATGATGTGATCATCAGGTGGGAATACCCATGTTGTCAGGAATAGAAACCCAAATCACTGCAGGATTCATCAATGTCTTATCTAAATATAGGTTTGTCTTATATTGCCTAATGGGAGATTTATTTAATATTTACATCATATGACTTAGTTACAGGTCCATTAAAAAATGAGAGAAGAAAATACTTTCTGTGTTTAGAGGTTGGTTCACCCCAAAGTGTCTTTTTTTCCCCCCTTAAGTTATAGAATGATCCTCATCCTTGCATAATGCATCCACTTTAACATTTCTATCCTTTTCACTTAAATTTAAATGAGCCAAACTCATTAAAAGCTGAGCAGAGTAATTCTGGATGCAAAGCATCTTCCAAACTGTTGACACCTCTGATAAAGATCTGAAAAATGTCAATAACCCTGAACATTTTTTTAAATTTTGGAAATGCTTAAAATCAAATGTTTAATGTAAGAATTTAATTGAAGGGAAAATATAACAGATCAAGAAACATTGTATTTTGTGTTTTTGATTAAGAAATTGTTGATTAATCAACTCTTCCCTACCTTTACTTGGCAAAAAAAGGATCAAATTGGAATTACACAAAGTTTAAAACTGTATGGATAGCAGAGGATCTTCATCAGCATAAAACACAAAGATCGAATTTCATTTATTCAAGCCTCAAAATGAGAGACAAGTGAACAATGTCATTTAAATAAGGCATTTCTGTTTTTCCTCATAAATATTAGCAACTTTAGCTGTCACTCAAAATTAAATCAGACATTAAATAACAAAAACATCAATGTCTCCATTATTGATCTAATTTAAGTAATAGAAAAAAGTTTTTTCTGTTGCTTGACAGATGTTACTTTATCTGTGACGTACATTCAAACCGCCGCCCCCTCTGCTTTTGTCCAGGGTTCATCCGAGGCTCATCACTCTGTATGGAGAGGAGGTGGATGAGGCAGAGTCAAGCATCACCTGCAACTGCATCTGAGACCAGCGACTACTGTAGCACCGCTTTTCAACCTCCGGCAACAAGGAAAACAAGCCCAAAACAAAAAGGTTCTACCGGCAATGATGTCCTATATAAAGCGGAATAAAACTGTCAGCTATTTAACAGATAAACATTTACAGAAAAAATGGCCCACATCATCATATATCTTCCACCATACCTAATAGTGGCCACCAGTTTATCCCTGAGGCTTTAATAAATATAAAAAGAGTTGAATAAGGATTAATTTATGCTTTAACAAATGTTTACAAATACTGTTTGACAATATGTTTTATTTGCAGTAATCTTTGTTAGTGTGGGTTTTTAAAACACCCAAGAAGTATTTGTGTTTTTAAAATACTCACATTTTTTTACTGAATATTTCTCAATGGATTCTCTTTTTGATATTTGATAATTTTTTGTTCATAAATGAAAAAAGCATAGTGTTTAAATAAAAAAAAAACTTTTATTTTAATAGAGTAATGACAAAAGCAGTGAGACGCTCCAGTGCAGAACAAACTTTCATAAAAGGCTAGCACAATAAAAATGTAATACAACATTCAAACACTTGCGTGATGTGTATTTGTGTGATGTGAAAAACAAAAGGAAAACGGTTGTTTTAACATGCTGCATTCACAGAATACAAGAAGCTAAAACAGCACCTTAGATACATCAAAACTTTCTAAACACCCTTTTCAGGTAAATATTCATTTCTTTGGCGTAGTCAGAAGGTGATTCGGTTTAACAGCTTTTTTAATAATCATTTTAATTTCAACACATTGTAACTGTTAGAATACTTTATAAGTTAAATTAAGTTAATAAAATCCTTTAAAATGGCTAGGTTATTATTGTTTCTAATAAAGGCTTCATAAGAATAACCATTTTTGTATCTGCAGCTGTTTCATTGCACACCCTGTGGACTTGCTACAGTTTGTTTACAATAGGAATGATTATTTAGATTTGTTTTCCTTAACACCATTGTTTGTTTTTTTTAACACAGTTGCGAAACAGGAGGTTTTTCTGCATGCTGAGTTGTCATTGACACTCTCAAGAAGACTAGCTCTGCATTAACAAGTCAAATGTGTCATGATTGAAATAATTCTTAATCTAGATGTGCCATTAAGACAGCAGGGCCCCATTTTCCAGCATTTATCTGTGTCCGCCTATCGGAACGCGCTTGTTGTATTGCTTCCCTTTTCCTGCACGCTCCTGCAGCTCATTTCCTTCAGACGCTTGGACTGCAGTCCAGTGTGTGGCAGCAACTGTTGGACGGTGAGTCTGTGCTCTCTCTCTGCTGACCAGCAGGTAAACTAAAGATGAACCAATCAGAAGCATGGTTCCCATCCCCTGAGATCACCAGAAAAGTCATTTGATTTGGTTCTTCTTCAGTGTTTGCACGCGACAAAGGATGCATCATAACCTTTTTAGCAAAGGTTTGACAGTTTTAGTTCTCCATCCATCCATCCATCCATCCATCCATCCATCCATCCATCCATCCATCCATCCATCCATCCATCCATCCATCCATCCAGTGCTGTGGTCTCATCAGAACATGTAATGGAAAATCTTAAGCAATAGTATCAGGTTTAATTTTTTTTTTTTTTTTGTGAAGGCACATTCAGTATACCAGTTCAGGTGCATTCAGGACTCTTTCACCATCATCCATCTTTGCTGCAAAGTTTCTGCACAGCTGAGGTGTGAATTCCACCCAATGTCGATGCTAAGGCGTCCTGGTGAGAGGCAGCAGCCGCTGTTAAATAGAGCTCTCCCTCTTGTTTAGTTTGGGAACATAGTCCCAGCTGTCCCTGTTTATTTCCTCCTGCTTCTTGAAGCTTCTCTTAAAGAAACCAGCCTGGGAATCAGACATAAAAACAACAGAGTTGTATACATAAATGCATATCCAAGCAGATTAAATAAATGTATCCTAAACTAAAAATGGATAACGAGTGATTAATTATTAATTACCTTCCACAAACACCAGATGAGAGCTGCCAGGATGAGAAGTCCCAATACTAAACTGACAACGACAATGAAAATCTTCACAGCCATCGAGGGTTTCTGGGTAAAAACTGCCTCCACCACCACCTGGAATATATAAACTTGTTTATAACAACTAGAATTTATAAAGCCCTGATTTAAGATCTGGAGCTGTTTTACCTTTTCCACAGGTGGATCTTTAAGTAGGACGGTGTGAGGACCTTCTCTGGGAGATAATAAAGACGCTGTGCTTTCCACCCGCATAACAGGATGACGACCCTGAGACAAAGCAGGATTCGTTCAGAACATGTAAACAAGCCTGGTTACATATTATCAAATAAATCTTGACACATTTAACTTTCCAGATATCCAGATATGCAACACTCATTTTCAAATATAATGCATCTTTTTAACATGGTTTGTGTTGCAAATGATTTTCTAAACAAATTCAGAGTTGGGTTGGGTAAAAGGTCCCCTACATTAAGGAATGTCAATCCAACATATCATTCTAACATTTTTGGCCTAATGTTGTTTTACTGTAGTGTCGACAAACATTACCGGAGCTTGGAGGAGCACAGCCGGGTTCAGGCTGATCTCCAGCTGGATGGTAGCATCTCTCCCTGCCTCCAGGTTACCGAGACGACACACCAGCTGCTCACACAGATGATCTCTGCGGCCACAGTACTGCACAAAAACAAATGTAAAACATTTAAATCCTGTCTGACAATTTAGTCGTCCGGCTAAAGTGACAATATGTAGAAGTGGCCCTTAACCAGAATCTACCAATTTTCAGCTTCATCTGTTCCAATAGGTGATCTTTTAGTTAAAGCATCGTTCCTTCTACAGTGTTTACGTTGTTATTGAGGGATGAATCAGTGTTCGCTCTTTTCATTATTATTGAGGTAATAAACATTAAAGTGATGTGAGACACAGAAACCAGAATTTTCATCAACGTGTTAGAATGTGTCTGTAATAAATTCACAGCATGAGAGAAAAATGGTAAATAGATGCCAAGATAAATAATAAAAAACAATGTAAAGTATTTTGTTTTAGTTTGCAGTTTTTTCTTTTAAACTGAAGACAGAAATAAACCCAGAAGTCCGGTTAAAATTGCAGAACTTTCCGAGTTTTAAGCTGCAAACGTTACTTTAGCTTCCTAAAAAACGCTGTTTCATTCTCTTTTCAAAAATAGTGTAATTTTTGCAAATCAGGTCTTAATAAAAGTTTACAGAATTCCATATCATGCCAAATTACAGGTATTAAAGACAATGGAATCAGCAGCTTTTCTTTAATTCCACTGTATAGAGTCGAGCTGTCATTTTGCAGTTGGGACTTACCATTGTGCGGGTGCTGGTGGGAGAGAAGAAGAACATCAGCTGTTTGATGAACGAAGTTTGAGGAACATTACAGTCCTCTTCAACCAGAACCGTTTTGTCACTTATTGAGCATGAACCATGTGATGACTGAAAAAACAAAGAGGTAAATATTTTGTTAAGATGTCAGCAGGGTTTATTTCCACAGTCTACATGAGGAATGATAGAAACGTTATTTCTATCATTCCACAGGCCTACCTTCAGGTCGATGACCTGCAGCAATCGGTGTAGGTGGGGTGCAAGGATTTTTGGCACAGCAATCTGCACCACAGTATTTATCGCCTTACTGGGACCAGAGTTTATCACCTGCACAAAAGAGGATTCAGGTTTATTTTGATTTGGTTAAATTACCAAACATGAAAAGAAGAAAGTAAGAATACAAGTTAATATGATTCTGGTGTTATAGATTAACCTTAAATATATATTCCTGTATTAGAAAAACAATTTCCCTTTATAATATATTAAAACAGTTCCCAACCTCAGTGTGCCTTTCATTCTGAACACACATGTTAACCTACCTTGTATGTGTAGTTGAACTTTTCAGGGTAGCAGTCAGCTGGAATTAAGTCTTCGTCTCCGAACACAAAAGAAGATGGGGTCACAAAACTGCAACCGCAAAGACAATTAGTCACACTGTAGTGGCAGCTAGCATATCTAACGCTTTTCATTCTGTATATTTATTCTTTCTATAAACTGTAATATAAAGTTAATAAATTAGTATTGGTAGAGCTGACTGACCCGTGGATGCTGACGCCGACTCCATATTTCAAGGGAAGAACAAGTGTGAGGCTGTTATCTTGGAGGAAGTTCTCCATCTCATAGTTGGCGCTGCATGGTGAAAAAATAACATGACATTTAATGCATCTTAGTCTATAAACTTATGACAATCTAGTCTTAGAGTTGAACTTAGGGGATAAAAATACGGTCTGGTTGTCTTGTAGAAAAAAAGCTGGTGGTCGTTACCTGCTGGTGTTGATGTGGATGTTAATGTCACCAGGCGTGCTGTTCTGATTGACGTCGAACAGAAAACTGATATTTATCTGTAAAAAAAGAAAACAAGGACACTAAATGGTCACAAAAACACAAGCCAAATTCTTTAACCCTGTCAAACATGAACCACAAAAAGAAGTATTTTTTTAAACTAGAGTCTTAATAGAAAATTGTGTCAATTGCAAAAAGAAAAATCTAAGTAAGATTTTTTTTTTCATTTGTATCTTTAGTGATACATCAGCATTTTCTGTTCACTACATGCATCTGATTGTAAACATCAGTTTTTCTTTTAATAAAAACTACTATCACATTGATTACAACTCATGAATCTACAGTAATGATAGACTTAGCCTACAGGCTTCAATTATTATTTTACAGTCATTTTTTACAGTCACCCCATATTTAATTCTTAATATGGGGTGGGTTCTTTGTGCATGGAATTTGCATGTTCTCCCTGAGCATAAGTGGGTTTTCACCGGGCACTCCGGCTTCCTCCCATAGTCCAAAAACATGACTGTTAAGTTAATTGGTTTCTCTAAATTCTCTGTAGGTGTGTGAGAATTGTAGCTAGTCCTGTTTGTCTCTGTGTTGCCCTGCGATGGACTGGCATTCTGTCCAGGGTGACCCCGCCTCTCGCCTGTAGACAGCTAGAGATAGGCACCAGCACCCCTCGACCCCAGCAGGGATAAGCGTGACGAAAAATGGATAAATGGATTGAATTCTTATCATGTTAAAAAGGATTTTTCCAATATATGTTTAACTTCAACCGATAACCTGTTCATTATTTGCTCTGATAATGAACCAGGCTTAGAAAGTCTCTCGGTTTGAAATCTGCTAGATGTTCTTATGGATGATAAAGGTCCATCTTGCCAGATATTTATACCACTTGAAGTATAATTGTTTACTGCATTTTACAGGGATTTATGCTGTGGCTCAACACACAGTATTGTATAATTGTGAAATTAAAGGAAAATGTCGCACGTTCTTTTTTTTTTTCTTTACAAATAAACATGATAGGACTGGTGTATATTTGTATTCATACTCTCTGAGTTAATACGAATGAAGTACAGCTCGATGCTGAAAATATATTTCTGTGAATTGGACAAAGACTTTTAATTATTACGTTTTCTCCATTTTGCAATGATACTCTACCACACAGAAGAAATAAAATACAACTCATGTTTTCAGCAGAAATGCAAGGAAATGTGAAACAGTGTAAAAGAGTGAGAATATTTTTTGGAATGCACATTTCTAGCTGAGCATGCACTACTATTAGCGCTGCATGGATCCAAACAGTAAATAATTACCTGGGAGCTGGCTGGCAGGATGAGGCTGGTGATGCCGCAGTCGATGCTCACGTCTGTGGCGTTCACCTTCTCTGTGACGTCACAACTAATCACGTTGTCCTGCTGCTCATACAGAGATGGATAAGGGTTCTTTATTTGGTTTAATACAGACTAAAGTGTTAAATTGCAGAATGAATAAACCATGAAACTCTGACTTGAGTTCCCTGGTTTCAGCGAAAGCAATTACATCTTCCAATGTGGTTCAAAAGGAACCGAGGAAACCTCAGGAATTAACAAGAATTGAAAACCAAACCAAACAGTCATTTCTTCCTCCTTTTGTGAGGTGTAAACTCACATTATGCAACACTTTGATGAAGTGGATGATGTTTGGGAATCTCAATGTCACTCGTGGCAGGAAGGCGTCATCTCCGGCGTTCAGCAGAGAGGTTTTCAGGATGATTTGTCCAGAGCCGAGAGCAAAAAAACTCTGTTGTCTGTAAACGAACCACAAGTGCAACATTTTATCCTTTGACACTATATAAAATCTGTCTGTAGGGGCACTTATTTACATAGTGGCTTCATCTTAAATCTCTTTCCTATTCTTTTGTCTCCTCTGTGAGTCTTTCAATCTGCTGCTAACCTTCACCATTTTTGACAGCAGCTATGGATGGGAATCCCCTTTTCAAACTCTTGAATATCTGCAACAATCTTGACATTTGGTCAGATGCAAGCTTGTATTTTTATTATTATTGGGAGCAATTTATCTTATCAAAGTTCATGCTATTGGAGGGGGAGTCAGTGACAAATGTGCCATTATAGTGGTGACAGATATTCTGACAGAAAATCTGATAGAAAATGATTAAGTATCTAGTAAGCAGCAGATGGGTTGATAAAAATGGCTGAGGTAGGAGGAGATGGGCTGAGTTCCTGTTACTGTGGAGGTTCAAGGCTTACTTTGAAGCAGCAGCATAGACCACACCTTGTTTTTCTCTTGTCCACTAAGAACAATAAACTAAGGCTACAGCTCAGCTCATTCAAACCTAAACATGAACAGATCAGCCAAATGTTGCCGGGTCCAAGGAGTCTCTATTTGAGCCTGTGGATGGATCAGAATTAGCTGTAGATTTAACATAGAAGCACTGATCCATCCCGCCTGGGATCGGTGGTTCAGGTTGCTGTAAAATACCATTTTTAAACAACTGAACTTTAAATAAACACCCCTTTAAGACCACAGGGTAACCACGGTCTGATGGTTACTTCCAACATGCAATCAAATCATCTCAATCTGGTTTCTTCAACATGATAATAAACCACTGTACTCCCCTGATCTCTGCAGTCAGCAGATCCAATGCTAAGAGAGCACCAACAACTTCAAATAAAATCTCTTAGAGATTATTACTAACACCGTGTTTAATTCACACTACTGGGATGCAATCCGGTACGAACAGGTCGGACCCAAAAAGGTGACCAATGACTATATATACTTTATATATACATCTTTTTCTGAACCACAATCTATAAATAAAAGCAACACATAAGTGATGTAATGGATTCGTCCTGCTGCTAATTACCGTCATGTGTTCAGAGGGGGAAAAAGTCCCTGTTTTTGTGTTATTGGAGAGCTGAAAGGCTCATTTTGTTGGCCTTGTTCATAAAGCACAGCACAGCTGACCCACTGCAGTGACCTGTGAGGCTTTTTCACTATCAATCTAAAATAAGGTTGTGGTTTTAGTTCACTTCAACATATCTGTTTCTGTTTGATTTACACAGAAAACCTGTTGTGAACGCTCTGCATGTATGTGTGTGTGTGTTTCCTTACCCCGGTAGCACCAGTTCACTTGAAAGCTGCATGTTGGTTGAACAGTTCACCAAAGAGCAGAAGCGTGCGAACTGAGTCTGACACAGAGAGAGAAGCATGCTGTTTATGACACCAGTAACAATGAATGAATGCAGAAGTCAGAGCAACTTCACCGAGCATCTTCCAAACAGCTACTGCGACCCCTGACCCTGAAGCTACAGACGATTAATAATAATGATCTCATGACTCACTCCAGCTGTGAATTCCTCTTTCTTAACTGTTTTTTTTTGTGCTCTGTGTTTGCTAGTCAAGGAGAAGTAAAGTAGAAACACAGGAGCAGGATGTTAGCTAATGTGCTGCAGGCACTGCAGCTGTGAACACATCTGGGTAAGCAGCAGGGTATACTCTTAGGTATCTGACTTTAAAGCAGCTGTTTTCTCAACTTTAAATCCAGTTTATTAATGAACTGAGATGACGGCATTCTAAATTACTTCTATTCCATGAAAAATAAAAAAATCCTGACATATTTCTTTGCATATAAAAAGAAATTCTGAAGGTTTGTGCCATAACAAAGACAGCTTTGCTCCTTTGAGGCTACAAGAAATAAGGAATCTTTCTCTATGTTGATTAAACTTTGAAGAATCTAAACTTTTTTATTTATGTATTGTAGTCAACACGTGGACTTCACTTTAATCATAAAGAAGCGGTTCATTACTAGTGCATTTTTATTGTGGAATCTAACTTTGTAAAAATAAATTACCCATATTTAAATAATGCTAATCAAATAGTAGCTGTATAAATATAATAATTTTAACCAGTTTAGTGTAAGCAGGAGAGATTAAATATTTTTTACCATCATTAAGAAAATATTGGGGCTTTTATTCCAAATAGTACTTATAACTTTTGTTTTATCCCAAACTGAGTCCATATTAAACCACTGTAATCGCTCCTTTAAAGTATATAATTATGCTAATCCAGTTTGGGTTACTTTACACTTTTACAGATAAAATAGATGAGTTTCTGTTTGACATATGTTGGTACCTGGTTGGTGACGGTGTTACGATCCCCTGTGCTCTGCTGCAGAATTGGTTTCAATGGAGGCAAGGCTTTGGAGGTGCTTCTGTGGCTGATTTTTTCTTTGAGCTGGTAGGAAACTTCAAACTGAATAGGGGTGTAAATGTCTTTAACATCTTTCTGGAAGTGGGAAAAAAAAGAAAAAAAGGGAAAAATTGAAAAATTCAAACTAATTGCTAATCCTGTGGGTAAACTGTATGATATTTTTTTTTCCTCTATTGAATTTTTGTGTCTTACCCTTTGGTAAACAACATGTGTTACACAGGTGTGGTGGCCAGGCCGTGCCTTCAAATGACCCCTCGTGCTGTTCGATGATCCATTACCGTGGAAATAGAAACGGTGAGGGAAGGATGGTTTATGGAGGATGTCGGAGGTCAAATTATACTGAAGCTCTGGGGAGAGAAAAGCATAAGTCTTCCACATAAGTAAGTCATGGCTAAACGTTAAATAGATTTAACTATTAAACCTTCAAGCAGAGTGTATGTTTATAATTTCTATTAAATATAAAATAAATTGAAAAAATGAGTCTGAGTACAAGAATTTACACACTTTTCTTAGCATTAGGATTCAATGTACCTATTGCCCCTTTAAAATGTTTAGATGTAACATGGAAGCAGATCGTAATGTTGAGGCAGACTGTCGGATTACTGAGAGCTTGACATAGCGCCGCCTGCTGGTCCACCTGCTCCGGTAGAATCAGAGAAGCTTTCACTTGAATCACTGGGCGGGTCCTAAGGAGTGCAACAGAAGAAACTCTAACGACTGAAAGCTACATGAAAAACAGAATCACAACATTCTCCTGTTGTCTTTAGGAGATAATCATTATATATGCATATAGACAGATTTAACTATATATATATATATATATATATATATATATATATATATATATATATATATATATA